TGATTTGAATTTAAATTAGTTAATAATTCAATGAAATTTTTACTATTAAGTTATTGATATTTATGAAAAAAAAAAAAAAAACTGTGAAGCGAACATTCCGAGAGTATCCCAAGATCCAATTGCCGACATGATCTCTAAAAACACCACCAGCTCCTGCTAAACCAGGATTTCCTAAGGACGCACCATCCGTGTTAAGTTTGACATAACCAAAGGGGGTGGATTCCATCCAACATGAATAGTGGTAGTGTTGGAATTTTTTGTTTCCTTACTGGTAGCTTGTAAAAACTCAGTTACGTTAGCTTGAATGAAAAAAGGATGGTGCTGTAAGATAATTTTTTGTTTTATTTTTTTATATAATTGTTATTGCATCATTTATATATATTTAATATTATAATTTTTATTTAATTAAAAAAATTAATTATTTTAATAAAAATTATATAAAAAAATAAAATAAAAAATTTATACAAAAAGCATCTCCCACGAAAAAACGAGCAGCAGAGACGTCAGAGTTTTTAACTTGGTAAATAAGCTGATTTCTAATGAACCATAAAGACCAAATGATGAAGGAAAGAATGGTACCCAGCTACTTTCATTATGAATAGCCTCCTGACGGCAATGACCCTTCAGCCATTCTTGAAAACTAGGATTAAGGTAGGAATAGAGAATAGTTTGGGGAGTCAAGATGGCCCACACCATGCTGACAAATGGGCACTCCACATGATTACGGGTTCAGGGGCATTATTGCATCTAGGACACAGATTGGAGTCACTAATGCCCCAACTATAAATAGTATCTTTAGTGAGCAATCTACCATGAAAGAGAAGCCAGATGTAATGCTGAATTTTAGGAAGCAATTGAATGTTCCAGATCCACATCCAATTCTCCTGCTCTTCCAAAGAGAAATTCCTGGTCAAACAGTAAGCTGACCTAGTTTGGAAAAGTCCATTCGACGAAGGGCCCCATGAGAAGCTATCCTCATGATGGGAGCACAATTGAATGGGATAGCTTTAATTCTATTCATGATATAAGTGGGTAAAGGGTAGGACAACCAATCCCAGTCCGGAATGGTTGAAAGTTGGAAACCGTTAAAAGCTTGCTTAGCGATTATGGCTTTTTACTAGTTTTCACTTGAAATTCAATTCAATGTTTGGATAAAAGAAAGACTACAAAATTACACGGAAGGACTAGTTCTTGAAGCCCCCACGGTGGACATGATCCTAAAACTAGTAAAGCATCCATTTTGGACCAAGTCTGTTGGTGAAGTACAAAACAATAAAAAAATGATTTGCCTTCTCCCAATCCATGGAAAGGTTAGGGCTTTAGAACCCGCTGGCGGGTGCTTGCGTTTGGGACTTCTTCAGCCGCCGTTGAGATTGATGAGGTTGACATGGTCTTGTATGGGCCCCACCATTACTTTGATTTTTATCGACTTACGTCCCTGAGGCTGAAATCCCTCTATAAGCGTTCACCAGAAGCATGGCATGTTGACCTTCAGGCAAAACATAGTTCTTTCGATGCGATTTTCTCTAATATTGTTTCTAATGCTCATGATGGGCACAAAGAAGCTAAAAGTCTCTACTTTTTACACAACCGCAATCTGGGTCATTGTAGTTTCGAGCTTCTGGCTAAACATGGTTCAGTGCCAAGGCTTGGGTGGCAATGGTCGAGTAGAAGACGATTCTGTTCAAGGTGTAGCACAGATTCTTGACAATATTTTCAAACTCAGTTTAATTATCAATAAGGAGATCAGCCAGCAGTCCAATTTCTGCATTAAGGACCCGTGAGTTTTCCTTTTCTTCTATTTTCTTTACCTTTTTGTTTTCTTATAGTTTCTGTTGTTCCCAGTTTGGATGCTGTGAAAGTTGATATGGGAACTAAAAAGAAACGTTTTTCTTCCTTCTTGCTTTGGTTTCTAGGTTCTTGAAAAAAGATCAGGTTGAACTTAATTTTCATATTTGTACGGTATTTGTTTCTGGTCATGAAGAATATGAACTTCATTTATGGCTAAAGTTGACTTTTGGTGTTTTTTGAAGCAGTCATTATGCTCTTTTTCAGCTGATAATGTTTGTGCTTATGCTCTTTTTGTACTGTATTTGTTTAATTTATTCTCTTCAATTTTCTCTTAGGTCGTCCTTGTTTCTTTCTTTGTTTTATTTGTGTATGTGTGTGTGTGTGTGTGTGTGTCTCTCTCTCTCTCTCTCTCTCTTTTGGTACAATTGAACTTGATATTAAGTTGGGGATGCCTCTTTTCAGGATTGCTGATTGGAATAACGCATTTAATTTTTCTTCCAAATCGGATTTCTTGACTTCGTGTGTTAAAAAATATCCAGGTAATATAAAATTTACATAGAATTGCAGAAAATCCAGCCTTTTGTTTTGTAATGTTGCATAGAAATACAGAGAGAAAATAATCTCCTTTTTCTATTGCTACATCCGAGAATCAAGAGGGGGAGGACCATGGACATCTGCCTCTAGTAATGACCATTAATTCAAGCCTAGGTTGTTAACTTCTGAAGCTTAGGCTTCCACATTGCATCTGCTAAACTTCATAGTTAGTGCCACGCCTATACATGATGGCAGGAGAGGAGCTGTAATTGAAGGGGCATGATATAGAACTTTTAAACTGAGTGAACGACAAAAACCAAAACCGGAAATTAGTTCGTTGAGTTCAGCTGTGTGTTGATTCATTTTTACTTTTGCTCCTATTTTTTACATGCTAAAAGTGAGGTTCATTGGTTCAACAGATGCCGCAGAGCGCTTTTGCTCGGTAGCAGAGGTGAAAGCCTACTTCAATAGTTTCTTTGGAGGATCAGGGAATGTCAAGTATATGAAAGTGAAACCAAACAATAACTGTAATTCAATCTCATGGCCAAGGGGCTGTGAGCCAGGATGGGCTTGTAGTCTTGACCCAAATGGGCAGTTTGACCCTCTCGATTTGCAGAAAATTCCTTCAAGAGCTAACAACTGTGATGCTTGTTGTGAAGGCTTTTTCTGTCCTCAGGGTCTTGCATGCATGATACGTGAGCACCTAAGAATGATCTAATGTTTCATTTTTTTTTTTTCTTGATTCTTTTTTTTTCTAAATGAATGTTGCTAAACCTTGTTTGTTAATTCCTCAAAAACTACTGGATGGTGGTACTTCTTTCCTTCAAATAATTTTTTTGCACTCTGTTCCATTATATTTCTTTATGCGTAACCCTGTTTGAAATGTGTGTTGGTTTTTTGTTCTTTCACTTTTCTACCCTTTCTGATGTTGCTGTTTGATGCCATATTCCTGAAGCTTGCCCATTGGGTTCCTATTGCCCACTCGCAACTCTGAACATGACTACTGGAACATGTGATCCGTAAGTTCATGTTCTCTTTATTACCATTGCTTTAAGAATGTCACTTGAAAGCCTATAGAACATGTGCATATGGAATTAACATTTATATTGTTATCCAGATACAATTACCAGCTGCCTCCCGGACAGCATTGTGGAGGAGCAAATTTATGGGCTGATGTTGGTAGCAGCCCTGAGATGTTTTGTTCAGCAGGATCATATTGCCCAACAACAGTCCAGAATATAACTTGTGATACTGGGTATTAGTTTCTTCCTAAACTAGTCCCTTATCAGATTCTGATATTTAAGAATAAATATTGTCTGTGTATTATTGTGTACAGTTCTGATGATAAATTTTAACTGCTTATGTCTACATATTCATTCTTCCTAATGCTGTTAATTTTTTGTGTGCTATTTCAGACATTACTGCCAGATGGGTTCTACATCTAAGAAACGTGAGTTATTCCTCAAATTTATTTGTTTTTGTGCATGTCTAACTACATAAGTTCATGTTTGTGGAATTAATTCTCATGTCAAAGTTTTAAGGAGGAGAATTTCTGTGAACTACGTTTTTGTATTGGATTCAGAGCTTGTTGTTCTGAGGATTGGTGGGATCAACTTTTACATATTATCTTGCAGGCTGCTTCAGGTTAACTGCTTGCAATCCAAACACTGCAAATCAGAATATGCATGCTTATGGAATTATGCTTGTAGTAAGTTGTTCACTTTTGGGATCTTGCTTGGCTCTATATAACCATATATTATCTGCTGCCTGATTAAACAAACTTGGCTGATCTTCATGGTTATGCAACCTTTTCTGATGCATGTGTCTGACACCATCTCAAAAATTTAGTGGTTTCTACTTTTGCACCATCATGATTTTCTAGGTCATATTTATTGCCTTATTCTCTAATATACTAAAACTAGTATGTCCCCAGCTTACTAGTGAGCCATCACTGATAAACTGAACAACATTCACTTGGTCATGCAGGCTGCCACAGGTACTCTGCTACTCATTATTTATAACTGTTCTGACCAAGTTCTTGCTGCACGGGAAAGAAGACTGGCTAAAGCCAGGGAAGCAGCAGCAAGAAGTGCAAGGGGTACAGAAAAAGCACATCAAAGATGGAAAGCTGCAAAAGATGCTGCTATAAAGCATGCACATGGATTGCAAACTCATTTATCACACAAATTTTCTCGTAGAAATCCCAGCAAACATCACGAGAAACTTAAGATTTTGGATCAAATAGATGGTGAAACAGATTATGATATATATACAAATACTCTATATACAAATACTCTATATACTAGTACTTCAATTGAGTCTCAGTCCTCATCTGAAACATCAGAAGGAAGGCAAATGGAACCTGGTGGTCTGATGAAGCCGTTGGATGATATTGAAGGGGACCCTAAAAACCATGAAGCTTTCAATCTTGAAATTGGAGTGACAAAAGTGGACAAGCACATGCCCAAGGGGAAAAAAATAAGGACTGATAGCCAAATTTTCAAATATGCATATGTTCAGCTTGAGAAAGAGAAAGCACTGCAGCAGGAGAACAAAAATCTTACCTTCTCAGGGGTAGTTTCCTTGGCTACTAATCCTCAAACCAGGGAAAGGCCTCTAATTGAGGTTTCTTTTAAAGATCTTACTGTCACTTTGAAAGCTAATGGCAAGCATCTTTTGAGGAATGTAACTGGGAAATTTGAACCAGGACGGATCACTGCTGTCATGGGTCCATCCGGAGCTGGAAAAACAACATTTATTTCTGCTTTGGCAGGAAAGGCAATGGGATGCAAGATGACTGGTTCAATTCTTATAAATGGAAAGCATGAATCAATCCACTCATATAAGAAGATAATTGGTTTTGTTCCACAAGATGACATTGTGCATGGAAACTTGACGGTGGAAGAGAATCTTTGGTTTAATGCTAAATGCAGGTATGTCGGATCCAGCTCCTTTCTTTCACATTCCAATAGCTAAATATACACACTTATGCATGTCCATACTTCATACTACAAATTATCATCTCATTTTCTTTTTAGATTGTGTAAAGTAGAGGCCCTAATGTAGAAAGTCTTTTACTGACAGATATTGTTCCTTGCAATGTACTTTTCTGTCATTAGCTTCACTCAGATGTCTAGAACTTTTGGATGATTTTTCTTGTAAGTTTTTTCATTGAGTTCCATTATTGTTCTAATACAATCACTTTCTTCTTAGTGAAGACTCTCTGCAGGTTTGTCAAAGCCTGATAAAGTTCTAATTGTTGAAAGAGTTATTGAGTCACTGGGGCTTCAGATGGTGAGGGATTCTTTGGTTGGAACAGTAGAGAAGCGAGGTATCTCTGGAGGCCAAAGGAAGCGAGTAAATGTTGGGTTGGAAATGGTCATGGAGCCTTCACTTTTGATCTTAGATGAACCTACATCTGGTCTGGACAGTGCATCCTCTCTGCTTCTGCTTAGAGCACTTAGACATGAAGCTCGTGAAGGGGTAAACATCAGCATGGTGGTTCATCAACCAAGGTAAATTATTTCAGTGGAAAAAATTGGTCCTTTGGAGAACATTGGTTAAAAGATGAAAGTATTTGTTTTTATCAACCAGTTATAAAAGTATTCAATTTTGCTTTTCTTCTTATCTATTAATGACCAAATTTCTGTTCAGCTATGCCTTGTTCCAAATGTTTGATGATTTGGTACTTCTGGCAAAAGGTGGTCTCACCGTTTACCATGGCTCAGCAAAGGAAGCTGAAGAATACTTTGGCAGCCTTGGGATCAATGTCCCAGAACGTGTAAACCCTCCAGACCACTTTATTGACATTTTGGAGGGTATAGCGGAACCAAGTACAAGCTCAGGGGTGGACCATAAAGAGCTTCCTGTCAGATGGATGCTTCACAATGGATACCCAGTGCCCCCAGATATGCGGCAGAGTGCTAACAGGCTTGCTATCCCTGCAGTTGGTGTAGATCCAGAGCATGGGACAAATCTTAGTGGTGCAGAAGAAAGATCTTTAGTTGGAGAGTTATGGCAGGATGTTAGGGAAAATATGGAGTTTTATTGGGATAAAATTAGGTATAATTTCTCAAAGTTCAAAGACTTGTCAAATAGGAGAACTCCGGGTGTATTCCACCAGTACAGATACTTTCTTGGGAGGTAAATACTAGTCAATTACACAATTTGTTTTGGTTGCATATAGCTACTTAGAATAAATTCTATTAAAGTGTTAACTAAACTAAACTTAAGCTTTGCCATGCCCACCCATTCTTCAGGGTTACTAAGCAGAGAATAAGGGAAGCTAAGTTACAGGCAGTAGATTATCTGATCCTATTGCTTGCTGGAGCGTGCTTAGGATCACTGCCAACAATGACTGATCAAAACTTTGGGTCTGTCAGTTATGGTTATACCATTATTGCAGTATGTAAGTTAAACAAACATCATCCAATACATGCCACTAACACTTTCTTCAAATTGAATGTATTCTTTGATGCGGTTAACGAGATTTCTTACCATGGTGTTCTTTGTTATTTTCAGCACTTCTATCTCAGATTGCAGCTTTAAGAACATTTTCACTGGATAAATTACAGTACTTGAGAGAGAGTTCATCTGGCATGAACAGCTTGGCTTACTTTTTGGCCAAAGATACAGTTGACCACTTTAACACAGTGATCAAGCCAGTGGTGTATCTCTCTATGTTCTATTTCTTCACAAACCCAAGATCCTCCTTTACTGATAATTATGTTGTGTTGCTAAGCCTGGTGTACTGTGTCACTGGCATAGCCTACATATTATCCATTTTCTTCCAACCAGGTCCAGCTCAGCTGGTAAGTCTTGATAAACAGAAAAGAAAGGGGGAACGCATTGTCTTTTTATTGATCACAAACTTAAATCTCTTATATTTGTTTCACTTGTAATGAAAGCTACTTTTCGTGCAGTGGTCTGTTCTTCTTCCCGTTGTTCTCACTCTTGTTGCGACTCAGACAAACCAGGGTGAAATTTTGAAGAAAATATCTAATTTGTGCTACCCTAAGTGGGCTTTGGAAGCTCTTGTGGTTGCAAATGCAGAAAGGTATTATTTATTAGTCCCCACAACATACTAACTCAAAACATTTTTATAAGATATACTTTCCTACTATACACTATTAAACACAAACCCTCTGTACTGCAGGTACTATGGAGTGTGGTTGATTACACGTTGTGGAGTTCTTAAGAAGACTGGCTATGATCTACATGCGTGGACTCATTGTATATTGCTCCTCATCTATGCTGGTTTAGTTAGCCGAGGAATAGCATTTCTTGGTATGATCACGCTAAAAAGGAAGTAAGCTTGTGCATGTCTGACATTTTATCTTCATCTACAAAAGCAGCATCCTGCAGCTCTGGAAGCTCGTAGTTGTAAAATTCAACAAACCAGGAAAATCTCTTGTGGTGAGCCGAATCATGTTGAGTCTCTATGACATGATAGTGAATGACACAACCTTTTATTTAGGCTTGGTTGACACTTGGGCTTTACGGCTCATTCTCTTCCAAGAGTACTCCTCTTAACTTAGGAGCCACATAGTTGTATGTATCATTTTTGTTTTAGATTTTAGTGAAGATTCTTGAATGAGAGAAGCAACATACGGAATGGAAATGGGATTTTCATCATGATGCAATTTTAAAGTTCTCTCTTATACCAACTACATTTTTTATACCTCGTCAAAAATGTGCGAGAATCACACATCTTGGAATTTGAATGTATAAAGACAGTGGCACTGTAGCAGTCATAAGTGGTAAGATTACAGGAATCAAGAAAGTTTAATTAAGTTCAGAAGGATCCTTTATCTTTGAAGAATCAATATTCAATAATGGTTGGATTAAGCAATGAAAAGGAAATAGCAGAATCCTTGTCTTGCTGTAGCTGAAGTTTGGCAATCCAGACTGCAAATTATAATAGTAACATCCTAATACCAGGTACCAGTCACAAGAAGCTGAAAAACATATTGCATTAAACAGTCAATATGACCTAACTTCAAACATCATCATCATCATCATACAGTAAAAATAAAGGAACATTTGTTTTAATTACTTTTGAAAGCTCATGTTCTTTGTCTGTCTCATTTAGCTTCAATTCAAAAAAAAAGAAAAAAAAAAGCTCTTCGTCTGTCTCAGCCGACTTGTTTTCAGTCCTCATCCCATGAAGAATGTAGACTGATACTGATGGTCTTCTCAAGACTTTGAACATTCAAAGACAAACATATTGGCTCCATGGCTGGGTCTCAGGACAGGACCCAAGTCATGGGAATTATTAATCTACTTTAGATTACCCTAAATGTGATGCTGTGATTAATCCCATGTTATAGTTGATCTGTCATTGGCAAAATGGCAGTGGGACTTTTGGACAGTTGACCTATGCAGACGGGAGGAGGCATGTGTAAACAGTCCTTTTAAGACAGGTTTAACCTCTTCAACTCTCCACCGTAAGAGTGACAAATAGGATGAGTCCAATAACAGAGGACTCAGTTTGGTTCCTAAGAAAAAAAAAGAAAAAGAAACAGACAATTTTGTGATCTTTATTCTAAATTCTAAACTAGAAGCTTCTGTCACTTGTTAGTTATTTTCTTCCGTTACGGCACCGCCACGAAGTCCCCACAAGAGGTTTCCTTCTGTTCAAAAGCCCCAATTTCTCTATCTCAAGAAAACCCTGTTTCATTGTTTTAATTCCGGCCCTGATGTGCAAATCAAGGAAAAGCATAGATGTAGCCCAGCCGCGCCTATCAAGACAACCTCAATCAAGACAATCTCAACGGACATCCAAATCCTTCGAATCATCTTTGCCAGTGGACCCATCTTCTGGCGATAATTTCATCAACTCGTCCAGCAATATCCATAGCCATCAATCTTCCTCCTATTCTAAATCCTCTATCTCGAGCAGAAGCTCCCTCTCCAGCCTCAGAGACTCCCTCCCGGAAAACCCTCACATCTATGGATTCCCTGATGTCTGCGTCGCCACCAACAACTTCCACGCCAAGCCGTTTTCATCCTCTTCGTCGTCCTCCTCCTGGCACTGCACGCTCCAGGGCAAGGACGTGATCATTTTCCAACGGAAACTGCGGCGGTCGATGGAGTTAGCGGATCTGTGTCGCAAATTGTCTGTAATTTGCAGGAGTCATCATAGCAGCTTGATCAAGCTTCTGGGTGCTTCAATGTCTGGGAATTACATTTATCTCGTCTATGATTTTACCGAGGGAGCTAATTTAGCAAATTGTCTGAGAAACCCTAAAAACCCCAGCTTTACTGTTCTTTCTAAATGGGTCTCTCGAATGCAAATCGCAGCAGACCTCGCGCACGGCCTCGATTACATCCACCATTGCTCCGGTCTAGAGACGGGCTTTACCCACAACCATATCAAGAGCACAAGCATCATAATCGCCGAGGATTCTTTCAATGCCAAAATTTGTCATTTTGGCACGGCGGAGCTCTGTGGGGAAGTGACGGAAACCAGCAAAACCGATTCCAATTCAAAATCCCTTGTGAGGACGGGCAGCAAAGTGATGAGGATTGAAGGAACGAGAGGGTATATGGCACCGGAGCTTCAGTTCAGCGGCATGGTGACGCAGAAGTGCGACGTGTACGCGTTCGGCGTGGTGTTGCTGGAGTTGTTGAGCGGACAGGAATCCTTGAGATACGTGGTTGACGAAGAGAGCGGCGGGTATAGCAGGGTGAGTGTTATAGACTCGGCGAAGGTGGCAGTGGCGGATGGAGTTGGAGGGGTGAGAAAGTGGGTGGACAAGAGGCTGAAAGACTCGTATCCGTTGGAAGTGGCGGAGAAGATGGTGGAGTTGGCATTGGAGTGTCTGGAGGAGGACCCCGCGAAGAGGCCGGACATGGGGCTGGTGGTCGGACGGATCTCAAAGCTGTATTTGGAGTCCAACAATTGGGCGGAGAAGTTGGGAATGCCGATTGATTTCTCAGTCTCTTTGGCCCCAAGATAAACACAAATACATGATTCTTTCATTCTTTGAGGTTGAAGCTTGAAGGAAAGTTTGGATCTTTGTACAGTTTTGGGAAGACTTTACTAATTCAAGCAGCAATCTTTCCCATTTCAAGGAGATTTTGTTGCGGATTTTTCATTTGTTTGGAGTTGATTTTTTGGGATGAGTTTATTTTCCAACTTTTTTTTTTCTTTTTTTTTCGGTGTTTATACAAATTCGTTCAAATATTTTGGGATTTTGTCAATAAATATGCAATTCTTTCTTTATTTTCCATGGCTGCTTCGTCCAGGAAAAGATTTCTTTTATTTTTCAAGTTTTGTAACATTTT